AAACAACAGTCTAGATTCCTATCTAACAATGAGATATCCAAGCGGCTGCCAGCATTTCTCTCCTGTCACAAAGACCAAAACGGTGAAGAGATAAACAGAGGAGCTCCCTGTTATCTGCTAACAGCTGCTATCTGTTGTCTTGACATCTTAACAGCTTTCCTTAAGAAAGTTTTGCCTGTCATTGCGTTTGATCTGATTCAAATACTAAAAGCATCCCTCTTATCAAATATTTTCCCCCAGGCTTTAAAACAGCAGTTATCAAACAAAACAAAACAAAATTAAAGAACAATCTGGACAAGATACTATTGCAGAATTACAGTCAAATTTCCAACCAAGTCAAATAGCTTCTTAACAATAACCAACTGCTTTGCCCTCAAAGTCAAAGTGTTAAATGATATCCAAATAAAAATTTCCTGTCTTCATTCGAATTAATAATAATAATAAAAAACTTCATACTGGAAATGAGTATTAAGTTGTCTTTCTTCAGTAACAATTTCCACACTGAAGAGTGCTCTGTTTAGCAGTAACCAGGAAGGTCCTCAATGGTATGTCAAGTGATCAGAAAAAGGTTGGACATTTGTCTTTCCTGGTTATCGGTCAGATCTAATCAAGCTGAGATCGGTTGGTTCCAGTCACCCAGCATCTCGGTGCATCTCTAGACTAAAATAGAACCAATTCAAACTCTGAGGCAGCCGAGTTCTCCAAGTGAAGCTTAGATGCCTTCTTAAATAACTCCTACTGCAGACTGCAAACAGCAAGATGTGGTTTTGACAAAGCCCTTCACCCGTGAACACGAGAAGCAGATGGGACAAAGAAATCTTGTCAAACATTCCTTAATTAACTGTCTTAGTCACAGTCAGGCAGGGAAACTCATCAGATGTTCCCTCCCAGGGAGCAAAACATAAGGCAGTTTACTCATTTTACATTCTGGTATAAACTTGCTGATCATGACAAAAAATAAAAAATAAACAATCTGACTCAAAAGCGTGATAGCATCTAGAAACTGGGTGAACGTTGTGTCATAAGAGTGATGCAGTGAGTAAGCCGACAGAGAAAGTGGAATCTAAAAAAGAACCTGTTCCTTGTTTGTGATGAAGCCATTATCTTTGAACAAGCTCACAACAGCTCCAACCTTTCCAGATTTGTGTGTGTGTGTGTGTGTGTGTGTGTGTGTGTGTGTGTGTGTGTGTGTGTGTGGAGGACAGACATCAGCTCCCTCATTGACTACATCTCCCCAGCTTCATTAGATGTTGTCTGCTTCTGTGCTTACTCTTGTTTGTTTCAGGAGATGGGGAACATGAATCGAAGCATTGAGGTTTGCACTCCTCAGAGGAGGGAAGCACTTACACAGCAACAAAATCCTCTCCAGGGACAGGAGAGAGGAGAGAAGGGGGAGACAGAACACAGCGACACAGCATTTCCATTTCAGCCTGTGACGCTTTGAAACTCAAATAAAACTCAGCCACACGGGAGTCGCTGAAAACGATATGAAGGCAAAGGGTTTGTATACAAATCAAACTGCCAGCTGAGTCACATGAACTGGCTACATATTTACAGCATTTAAGGTGCAGGACGGCTGGTGGTTTTTACACAATGTGTTGCCCTTATTATCATATTTTAACATAATACACTGGATCACTGCCTATATGCAGCTCAGTACTCACAGATTCACACAGTGGCAGATTTTTCTGTGGATCGTAACTCCAAATTATTTGCAGAATATTTGCCAATTAAAGATTTTTTTATTTATTTTTTTTTTTTTGCGGAGCACATTCAGTGCATCCATAAAGTATTCATGGAGCAACATATTTTCCACATTTTATTGTGATAAATTAATCTTTTGTCAAAATGCCAGAATTCTGCTAATGTTGCTGCGATCATATTTGAGGAATGAACTTGCTCTAGACTCGGGGCTCTCAAGCTTTTCTTTCCCATGGACCCCCTAAACAGAATTAGTGCTACAAAAAAAATCTAATTTTGGAATGCTTTTCTCACTTTTATTCAATAGTCAGTAATTATTACATTCATTTAGCATAAACACCTTCTGAATTTGCAACAAAGTCCTCCACAGCAGGGCTACTGGATGTTTTTTTTTTTTTTTTTTTTTAAAAAATTGTCCATTTAGCACTTGCTTGAAGAGCAGAGCAGATTGATTAATTTCACTGTCAACCAATCAGAAAAATTGGCTGCCAGTGACAAAAAAAATAGGATGATTAAATAATATACATCTTCCATAAAGCTTTCTGAGGACACTGAACAGCCCTCACCTTTAAAGAATTGTGATCTACTGCTAAAAAGCAGAACTGCAGCGGCGCAGAATGGAGCAGCATTAGGGCGGCGCACCCCACATAAAGAGGCTTTTTGTCCTTGATGCAACCTTCTTGGGTTCAGCTCCTGACCTCAAGACGTTTGTGGCAAATGTGTCTCTCATCCGTCTCTCTCTCTCTGCCGTATTTCATGTCCTGACCGTTGCTTTTTACGATTTTTATAAAATCGTAAAAACAGGAATGTTGTGGATCTGAATGGGAAGTATAGATCCATAACATTTATTGTCGCCACCAGAGATTGCCAGTAAAAGATTCTTTGCAGGAGTATATTTAATGCTTTACCGGGATATTTCCGCGAACAGGGCAACGGCCATGAATACAAAATATTACGGTTTCAAAACCACTAACATTTTTCATCGTACCATTAATACAGTAAGTCCTTTAAATGAGATGGAAAGAAAAGGGTAGAGCTGTTCTCAGGATGCACACAGCATGAAATACACTGATGCCCCACATGTTGCTGTTCAGTGCAGGAAAGCTGACTGAAAGGAGGTACCTTGAAATAATTTCTGTATCAGATACCAAAAAACTGAAAGGAAGAATTAATGTCACTTGTTCTTAAGAGTCACTGACTTTATGCTATTTCTAATTTCAGTAATTAAAAGTCACAACAACAACAAAAAAAACTGTCAGGACACCTAACCTTCTTGGTTCATATCTTTATCCAACCTCAGATAATCAAATAAAAATAAAATGTAAGAGAAGCAAAGGTATTATGTAAGTTTCCAGGATGGATGGGGAAAAAAAATAAATAAATAAAAAAAAACCTTGCTTTTCCTGATGTTCAGGAACTGAATGATCTTTGGTGATCATTCCTCCTGTCGCTTCACAGCAGCGGGGTGTCGCCAAGGTCGGCCCCTTGACAAATGGAGCAACTCATTGTGAGTGAGGAGGAGGAACAGAGAGCAAAAGAAGAGAAAGGACATTTGTAGCTGCCAGAGCGGCCAGCGACCTCGCCATTTGGACAAACCCGCGTTTTGTTTTGGGCCGACGCCCACTTGAGGAAACTCAAAGCCGTTCGGCACGCATAAAGATGGCGGCTTGAGGGGGCCCATTCAATGGCCATCCATAGAAAACTCTCCCTTACCAACACACACACACACACACACAGTCACAACATAATCCCAGGGGGACCTCCGTGCACCCCTGGAAGAGTGAGCCTGACACGAGCCTCAGATGCAACGCAGAACATCCCACCCAACCTCTGCACACACAGACTCACACACTGAAACACACCACACATTAATACATATAATTACCCTCAGCAAAAAGTAGGGGGCCCCATCTCAGGCCAGGCAGGTGCTGCAGCAGGCCCACACAGTGATAGCTGTGCATAAATAAGTGCGTGTGTGTATGTGTGTGTGTGTGACAGTGGGGGGCTCGTTTGCCGTCTGTCAGTTCAGCCGGCTGCTTGCGTGATCATTCGGTCTCTGTTTCTCTTCTCCTGGGGTTTCTTGGCTGTTTGCGTGCATCTGCATGCTGTCATGTGTCTCTTACAAGGCAGGCCTGACTCATAGATCAATGCATCCAGTATTATGTGTCGTCCTAATGGCATTATGGGGTCACTGTGAGCGAGCGACACACCCTCGGCCCCCAGCGTCCTCCCACTCTGATCCTCCTGGCTTTGACAGAGATGTGGCCTTGTTACATGTTGTGCCATGATTGCTACCCAGCAGGCGAGGGATTTAGAGCCGGCCTTGGCAACATTTCAGTCTAAAAATACAATCGATTAATCAGCCCAAATGAGAAACTGGCACTTCCATATTCACACTTGCTTTCCATATAGATAAAGTTTAGCATACAAAGAAGCTTCAGTGGATTGGTTTAAGGATCAGCAGAGTTATGAATACATTGAGTTTTTAGTTATTGTAAAATCTTTCCACTTCATGTTTATGTTGGACAATACACTTTGAAGTTAAAGCTCATGCAACATAAAGAGTTTCTCCTATCTTGTGTTCTTGTCTCGTCATGATGCTGTTTGTTCACCAACAGAACATAACAGCTGGATTTATATTGAGAACACATTAGGATTCTAGCAATGAATTAGACGTCTTCTGAAGGCAGTTTGTTGGTCAGAATTTTATAGTGGGTATCAGAGATACAAATAAAATCTGAAAAGTGTGGTGTGAGACATTTTGAAATGCATATTATGTCATGAAATACCTTTAAGCTTGTAGTTGCAAGGGTCAAGGGGTACTTTTGCTTGTATAGGTTAGAGGTTACACACAAACACACACACTAGGGACAAGTAAAGCATGCATATCACTTAAACTTTGCATTCCTTACCTGGTCAAACAGAGATTTCCATTGCTGAGACAGGAAAAGCAAAGACAAGAGAAGAGCAAGTGAAGGTGAAAGTGAGAAGGAAGGAAGAAAAACTCAGGTGCCAAAGATGGCTGGCGCGCCTGTTTGAAAATGATGCACACCACCACACACACACAAAAAAAACCCTAATTTATCTAATGGTCTTAATATTAAAAGGAATGCAGCAGTTTTACAGCAAGTCTGTTTGAAAATGAATAAATTCTTATAAGCCTATGCCAAGAAGCAATATTCCAACAGTTCAGTCATGACATAACAGCGTCCTTCAGAGTTTAATTTGCACTCTATGTAATCCAATTAACGGACACCGGGGTTTCTGACATTACAGATGTGAGTACTGTGCAGACTTACTACTTCTTCTGGAGCTACGGGAAGGACGTCGGTACTCTCCAAAACCTCGATCTCCTCGCCCTCTGCGTGGGCAGCCACCGCCGGGGAGATGTTCACCGGAGCCTCCCGGGTTCCGCCGGTCATCCTCGGGCTGCTCTCCTCCATACATCCACTAGATCGTACCAAATGACCCCAGATACAGATGGTTCCTCCCCATCTCCCTCCTCGAGAACACAATGCATCAAACGAGCGCGCGCTCCTGTTAAGGAAAGTTGATCAAGTTTAGCAGGAGTTGAAGCGTAAAATGTCCTCATGTGGTGGTTTTCTGTCAGCGGTCCAAGTTTCAGAGGCACATTCTGCAGCGACTCTTTTCACTCCGAGAGAAAAGCGACGCAGGAGGAGCAGCGGAGCGCGGATCCATCTGGAGGAGAAACAATTACATCATCAGCTGTGACAGCGGGACGGAGATGACAAACGGGCCCGGGGCTGACGAACACGCTCTCATTTGGATTGATCCGCGCACGAGAGGGAGCGAGGGCCCGACTTCAAGCGATGTGCGCACGCGGCAGACTTGCGGGGAGAAGTTCGGACACGCGCCAGTTTTTTTGGTGCGTCATGACACCTGGCGCGCGGTCTGCTTTACAGAAAGAGAGAGAGAGAGGGACGGAGAGGACGAAGCTCTCCGGGAGGCAGGGAGCAACACTCCGACCGAGTCCGTCGAGACGCTGCCTGGGTTCGGCTTCAGGAGATGAAGCGGCTCCGCTCCGTTGCGCATACGTCCTCGCAGGAACGCAGAGGGATGGAGAGAACGGGTGGAGGGGGAGGAGAAAGGAGGGAGAAATCGAGGGATTACTAGCGATTCCTGATGAGGGGCTCCGGGTGTCTAGCTCAGCAGCTGACTGTAACTCATTGGCAGTATACAGAATCTTGCTAAAGCATCCACAACCCTAAACTTTTTCACGTTGTGTCACGTTACAGCCAACTTTAATGGATTTTGTTGGACTTATGTGTGACAGAGCAACACATTGCAACAATAAAAGTATTTTCAAATAATTTTCTGGAATTAGAATCTGAAAACGGTGGCATGCATTTGCATTTGGCATCCGTGCCCTTATACTCCCCAATATAAAAGCCAGTGTTAGCCTTCAGATACTATCTAATTACTAAACAGAGGCCACCTGTGTTCCAGCTGTTCTCTGAAGCTCTCAGAGGTAGAAAACATGAGCGAGGATGTGGCGTCATGAAAACCAAACACAACAGGCAGGTCAAGGAGAAAGTGGTGGAGAAGTTTAAAGCAGGTTACAAAACAACAGTCAGTGTTTTAAACACCTGGTGGAGCACTGTTTCGTTCATCAATTGAAGAAAGGAAACAGTTCATTGCAGCTGCAAACTGAGCCACACAATATTTTAAATTCTACTAGGGGTCAGCAATCTGGAAGTGATAAACTATAAAAAGTGACGTCAGTGTTGGACTTGTCCTTTCATCTATACTTATTTTAATACCTCAGCCATATTAGGACGGTATAAGCAACAACTGAAACTGACCTACAGTATTTGGCAATTATTTACCTGAGAATTAGACTTGCTAGTTCTGATCTAAATAACAAATTTCCTTATTAATTGCCTTCGACATTTAGTTATCAATAGCCAAACCATTGCTGCTCAACAAAATCATTTTGTGGTTGTAACGTGACAGTGTGAAAAAGTTTAGAGGGGTTCGAACACGTTTGCAAGCCAGTGTAGTTCAATAACTTGATCAGTTTAAGATGTTCAACTCAAAAGCCTCTTCATTCACACTTGATGTCTGGTTAACGCTTCCTATTTCTGCCCACCAATAACACAAAGCATGCACACTTCGATTAAAAGGCACAAAGTAGGGAGTGTCGAGGGATGCAGGTGAAGTTCCTGATCATTCCAGGTTTGAAACTGATCCTTCCATCACTGCTGTACCAATGCACCATTAAAGACAAGCACCCACCTATTACCTGGAGAGACATCAAACACACTTAATAGATGGGTGGAAGGCACGGTATGAGAAGGCAGCATGTGTGGTCTATGTCAGTATCCTGTGGTAAATCGCTCTGCTTCAGTGTGATTGCATTGCCATGGAAACAATAGAGTTAAGGTATATACGTCTACCCTTTAGAGATTTTCATTCTGGTCACTATACAGTGACACATCAAAGCCAGGCAACTCTTTTGCTTTTGATGAAAACTTACTTTGGCTTCAGCTTTAACCAGATTTACACAAATAATTGCCGTGTGATGTTTATCTATGAAATATTTGCACAACACATTTATATGGCTTCAGAATAACAAAAGCCGTAAATCCTACTACATAGAGCTGACCATGAAATGCAACTAAATGGACAATTTTATTAAAAGATTTAGAGCTAAGCAAAGACGATCTTTCTTAGCTTTCTCTTTCAAGGGCAAAGCTCAAAAAAGTATCCAACTAATTGGACATAAGAGCCGACTCAACTTGTTTTTGCAGGTCCTGATCCAACGCCAACAGCAGAGCCGTGATGAGAGGCAGAAGTGATGAGGGGAGAGGGTGTGAACCAGAAAAGAGGGAGACAAGATGTGCAGCAGGAAAAACACCCGCTAAGTGGAAAAGCTTAGCTCACATAAAAATAATACAGGCCGTTAGAAGAGGGTGGTTCAAAGCTTTTGTTATGCTCTAACCACAGCCAAAGTGAAACGACTTTTTCATGAACAGAGTCACTTTACACTGTTGTAAAGCTCCTCAGATGCTCAGAGATCATCCTTTTGTAAATAATTTGTGACATAAAGTGGATCAAATAGATTGCAGAGTGATGAAGAGTCTTCCTAATATGGAATTCTATGTGATTTGACAAACATTGTGGTGTTTCACATCCAATTAGGCACGTGGGTTTTTCAACTGGTTTTCAAATGTTCACATTCCAAGCCTGACTAACAACTAAAGGCCCAAGAACAAGAACATTACAGGAGATCAGTAAGTCCGTTTCACATAATGAATTGAGCAACTGAAATAAACTTTTCGATTATCTTCCTTTTTATTGATTATGACTGTGTGGGCTATATAAATCAGATGGTTTAAAATCTTTTTTTCATCCAATACCGCCCCCTTGTGAATCAGAAAAAATAGTTTTGATAATATTCAGGAAAACCAAAAGGTAGAAGACAATAACGACAGATAAAGATATATTAGCAAGTTCCAGTATGTTCACTAGATAGAACCTGACAGACAGAAAAGAACAGATTTTATTCCACATCTTATAGGCATTAATTTATTGTAAACGTTCAGAAAGATCGGGCAGAAGAAATACATAAATACCGTGGCGACGTTTGTGAAAATGAGTGTTTTGTGGCCACATTATTGCATTTTCAGAGACAAGGAGAGCTGATTCTCTCAACACTCAGTTATTCTTCTCAACTCTGCACCATCCAGCACTTAAATGAGTCCATGTTTATAAAAAAATGGAACAAGTTGACATTGCTGTTTTATGGAGGTCACAGAAACCTGGCATGCTTACACACAAGTGTGGCCAATTCCTTAGTACAGAAACACATGCATATGTTAGAAATGACCTATGCAGGAAAACATGAAAGAGCAGCAAAGCATTTCTTTTACACACTTACACCCAATAATGATCAACTGGGCTGTGCAAACAAGACAGGAATGTGTGGAAAGATTTGGCCATTTGTCTCTTATTATTATTGTTTGTCCATAAGCATGAGCAGAAAAGCCATTTTATGTTATATACACTATTTACAGACCTCAGACATCCCAAAAATCATTATAATGTAATTGACCTCTATCACATCAGCACGCAACCAAAAATAGCTTTATTTAACTCATGGCATAGCAGCAGCTTATCTAGATCTTCATAGAAATATAAATAGCTTTAGTTGTTTTTATTCAGATTAAACAAATTATCATACTCTTACAAAATAAATATTTTATCCACAAAATGAGAAACACAAGTGAAAAGAATCAGGAAAAAGTAGAGGGTTTATATGTGAGCACATATCTTCTCCATCAATTAAAAGGGACTTGCAACAATAATCTATAGGTTTTAATGAGATTCTTCAAAAATCATTATATCCTAATTGCATAAAAGATTGTCCAAATGTGTTGATCGGTCAAAATTGGCCCTGTTGGGTACCATGGTAACAAGGGTTGGATCAGTTTGCCAGGTGATCACCGTGTCTTCAGCAGTAGTCTGTACACGGCGAAGCCCAGCACTGCAAACACTGTGGCCCCGACACTTGCTCTCAGCCAGAAGGTGGAGCTCGTCAGGTCTTCTTGGATTATATGTCTGTTGAGCAAAGAGGCAAAAAAAATAAATACACAGAGAGAAGAAAACAAAGAAAGACATAAAAGAGATGTGAACACTGAAAGCACCGGAAGGGTTAAGGTAGAGTTTATGCACTTAAGGTTTGTCAAAACTATGTTAGATGCATGAAGAGATCAGATGATGACTGGAATCTGTCGATTTTCATCTTGAACCTGACCAGTAAAAGGTGGAAGTAACTTTCAAACAGGAAACCATATTTTGTCCCTGGTCTTCCTGTTGTCTGGTTCAGAAAACAGGAAGGCCAAGCACATTCTTCTTCTTCTTAAACTTTTATTCAAACAGGAATCCTTGAGATCAAAAATCTCTTTTACAAGAGTTTAATGCAGTAAAGCGGATTTGTTTTTATCATTGTCAGTTTCCTGTCATGGAAATAATGGAAGCATTTTAGAAATCTCAAGAGTTGAAGAAAGGTTCTAGATCCTCGGGGCAACATACAAACAGACACTGGTTTTATTAATGCTAGCTGCACTACAGCAACTTCTTTCACACACACCATGTGACGTCTCTGCTACTCTTTCCCATCAACTTGAACTGTTGCAAATTCATAGATTTTTCTTGTTGGCAAGTGTTTTCAGAAAAATGATAAAATCTCATAAAACTTTCTTTTCTAAAAACGTTGCATGTCCATGACCTCTGTGGGCCAGTTTAATCATAAAAAACTGTGCGACAATGTATGACGCTTTTTCAAGCTAAAATAAATAAACTATCAAATGCCGGGAGACAAATAACTAAGTAAAAGCTGATTTTATTTCTCTCTTTAAACTGCAAGTTTCTTTAAACTAGGACTGAAACCTCCCCCTTGCCAGGAGGCATCTGGCAAAAGAAGCACAAAAAGACTAAAATCTACAAAGTCGCAAAACAGCAAAGGTATGAAAAGCCAGAGCAAGGCTGGATGTGTAGAGAATATGTTTTACATGTAATTTTTTTTTTATTTTTCTTAAAGAGAAACTGGGATTGGGCAGAGTTAGTAATACTAGGTAAAAGCTTTTCAAAACAAGAAATCAGCCACAAAAACCAAATTCTGACTATTTGCGATTTAAACAAATATTCACTTCTTTACCTACTGCCTCTTTGCAGTACACATCAAACTGGCAAATAAAAGTCTAAGCAATGACGGTAGCAAAAAAAAAAAAGAATCAGAAGAAACAACTAGAGGTGAGCAACAAAACATGACAGAAGCTTTAAAATGTGAAGACACTGAAGAAGCAGGCAGAGATGAGAGGATTAAGAGTTAGAACATGAGACGGTAGGACTAGAAATAAGAACTTTGTTAGATGTAATGTAGATAAAAATAAACAGTTTGAGCAGCTTGCAATCCTTGTCAACGACAAAGCCTAAAAGATGATGCCTATAGGCCCTTTACAATTAAAATCAAGATAAGGATAACCTGTCAGAAAGGAAAAACAGGACAATCTAACATCGAAAAAGTAATATTGTGCATAATTTTAATCATTTAAAAACAAAACTTGCCTGAAAAAGCCTATTAATGGTGAATCACTAGCAATGTCACCTAACAGTCTGATTAAGAATGAAGGAAGCAAAACTTAGGGGAACGGGAAGACATGCATGCGCTGGCGAGGTCAACACATAAAAGAAGGAGAAAAAAGAAGAAGTTTCCATTAGAGACCTTCTGAGCACGACAGCGTAGAGTTTGGCCCTGACGGTCTGCAGCAGCTCAGAGTTCAGGAGGTTCTGACACAAGCAGAACGTGCACCGGTTGCAGGTGCACATGCAGCGCAGCCGGGCGTGGCTGAGGAGAGACGCAGGGAGGACACACACCGGCACAAACACACCGACGCACAGGGGGCGAAACAGACACACAAGAACAGGACAAACGTAGAAGAAAAAAAGTTCAGTGTTTCAATGAGGTCACTTAAACACAGAAGTATTTCTGAGGTGAGCTGCATTTAGAAAAAACAAGCCATTGCTGTTAATGTCCCTATAAAATATTGCAGGAGAGAACAAGCTTCTGAAACCCAAAAGAAGTGCGTCGATATAACAGGACATGTGAAACAGAAATACATGAAATAACTCATTCCCACTCACTAGCACAGGCCGGGAATAGGGAATTATTTTTTACTTAGTTTCACTCTTAACTACAGGATGAAAGGTGGTTTGTGTTTCCAGTTAAGAACAGCTTGACTGGCTACATAAGCAACCCAAAAGCAACATCCCAAACACAGCAGTCTGAATGCATGAAGAATATGGTGCATGATGAAAAAGAGTGCCACCTACAGGTGGAACGTCATACAGCTCTATTACAGACTTTTCTAGTTAACTGGTAAACGGTGATCATGAAAGTAAAAGCATTCCCCATTTTCTCTCTCTCTCTATTGCTAACAGTTAATTTTTGCAGGTAGGTCAAAGCGAAAAAGAATATCACAACCAGCCAGTCTATTGTTCTTTAAACCAGATAAGTCATTTTAAAATGAACTTTTTTTGATAAGCAAATGTAATTTAGAGCTCCAATATGTCCCCTACCATATATGGGCAATGACGCATCATCTGGAACCAGAGCCGGCCTGGTTCCAGATTACTTTTACATTCCCTTCTCTTTCACAACTTTTGTTGCCTCGTTTCTATTTTGCTACTTCTATTACTTTGCATTTTTCTAAATTCCAGACACAGAAGACAGTGTAGCCTACAAGCCTTAACACAAATGAAATGCCGGCGTACGTACGGGTACATGGCCATCGTGGTTAGCTTGGTGTAGATTTCTCTGTTTGGTTCAGCTGCCGTGTTACAGGTGAAGGACTGTGGAGGCGGCATCTTGTGCCTCCTGCAGAACTCCAGAGGGCTGCAGCCGTACATCTGCTTCACCTCGGGTAAGTCTGACTTGGCTGCGATCATCATGCACGGAGTCTTGCTGTCCATGAAGTATTGCTGTGGGAGAGATGAGACGGGGAGATCATGAAAGTCTGCGTTTGGGTGGGATTCTATTAATATGTGAACAATCCACAGCAAGCCACCTTAAAGACTTTGGCGCAGTATTCAAATGAGTAGGGGTTGCTGACGTCGTACACCAGACAGACAATGTCGCAGGCCATATCAACATCAGTCAGGTAGTCGAAGTCTGGGAATACCTCATGAAGCTGCAAAGGAATGGCAGATCGTAGCTTATACTCTGTTGTTAGGCCCCTATGATTTCTGAATTATTGAAAACAGGAACAAAATAGAAATCAAATGCTTTCAACAATGTTCACAGTGAAAAAGCAGATAAAGAGTGACTGTGTTGGTCGTTGCAGTTTCCTGTCTGTATGTTGTGACCGGGTCAGGTAAGGTTCTGCACTGTTTGAAACCGCCGTGGGGGTTTCACAGAGCAGCGTGTCGCTATGACACTAGTCATCAAAAAAGTCTGTGTTTAACTTTAAATGTTTGGTGTACGAAGAGAAGAGTTTCATTAGCACATTGTCTCTTTCTTGGTGTTGAGCTGCAAGAAAAACAATAAGTAATTTTTCCGCTTTATTTTTAAATGGAACTTGACTAAGTTTAAGCATTAAGATAATATAAACTTATTTTGTTAAGTCTTGCTGTTATGCTCTCACATCGGCGCATCAGTATAGTTTTCTCCTTTCCCTTTTGCTTAAAAACTAGTTTTGATATAGGAGGAGTTAATTTTACCTGATTGTTGATTTTGCATATTAAACTGAAATGCATTGTTTAAATGTGGCTAAACAGTCTGAGACTGAATTTACTCCATGCCTTAGGTGTTATGCCTATCGTTCTACAAGTGCCGCAAAACAAAAACACTAAAAAAAAATTCTTTGGTATAGCAATGTTTCTTATGTAGATATAGTTTCTGCTAAAATAATGATCATGACTTTAACTGTAAAAAATTTAGAAGGTAATATTTTTGCTACTTTTCATGCTCATAAAAATTCTGATTAATTATGCTCTTCTATAATATAATGGTGTTCTGTTACTTGCAGATCATTTCTGCTGCAGGTTAATTGCTAAGTAGAACAATCTGTATATATACAAATTGTTGAAGGCAATGAAAACCAGAGAACCATACAAGATTAATTTGGATTAAACTGTTCTTGTGGAAAACCAACTATGGCTCCAATTACAAAAAACAAAAAAACAATCTTAATGCTTTTCTCAAACTGAAAAAAGTATGCATTACAAAAATATTAAGTGAACAAGATAAAAAGCTTATATAACTGGCTCTAATCACGTCATGGTGGCCTAGTACAAGTATAAGTATCATGCACAACATCTGTACATTTATAAGGCTAGCTTAAATGTTGTTGAGTGACATGATTTTAATTTTCAAACTTCACCACCTTATATGTTCACATGGAGTCTTAGGATGAAAATATTAACTTTAGTGTCAGGATTTCTATGGTATAAATCAATATAACATATGGATCACTGAATATCATTACAACCCACACAATGGAAAATATAGAGAATTTCAAATACTCACCAGGAGGTATTTTTCCTGACCATAAACATATGTTGTGCTGATGGCGTAGTAGGATCTGTGCTCCTCTTTAATCATCTTCTGTCGCTAGAAAGAAAGAAGTGGAATGTTCCATAAACATATCTACAATCCCTACTGCATAAAAAAAAAATAGGTCATGTGAATAAGTAATATAGAGCTACAAAATCTGTCACGGTACAACTTTCTGCGTTTAAAGGGGGAACTGAGGAAAAAACATCTGTGATGCTACAACAAGGCTGAAAGGTCAAATTAGAGAAAAAAAAGTCAGACAGTTATAATTATATGACAGAATACAGAAGGTAAACTTAGCTAAATTACATAAATTATATGTCCAAACTTTAACTATGAACATAAATTGCTTATTTATTTAGAATATGCAACGGACGCCTAGTTTCCCACTTATTTCAAAAATAAAATACATTTCACACCATCAGATAAAACTTAAGGAAGCAATAATAACTATAGTTTTTTTTTTTAACCATAAAATTATTAGTAGCTAAGTGGTTACTAATCACCATTCTAGAGTGAGGGAAAATCTCAAAATGCTTTACTGGCGCATCAGGTCAAGCAAGTGGAACATCTTTAAAACGTCTAAAACCAGTCCAGCCATAAATACCAGCCCTATTTAAGGTTAATCAGATCACAACACTTTCCCACCTTTCAAGCTTCTCTCACATCAATTTTAAGAAGCGACTGCTGCCGAGTATAGCCCACCTATTGACGGGCGTATTATAACGACATAATCCTGCTAATCACATCACCAGTCTGTGGCTTTAATATGCCGTCTGTGTATTCTCTCCACGTTAACATTGTCTCCGGCGCCTACCACGAAGTTTCTGCCCAAGAAGGCCTGCAGGAAGCCGCTCTTCCCGCTGCTCATGTCTCCAAACACGTTGCAGCGGAAGACGTTGCGCTGAGTCTGTTTCTTCTGCAGGTCAATCTTCTTAGCTCTGGTCACTGTAGGGGGCCAAAGCACACATACAGGTATCAGCGGATCAGATCAGGCTGCTGCCGGACACAACAGAAACATTACTGTTGAGCTGCTGCCGTTGTTTGTTCTCCAACACCACACCTGCGAGTTTTATCCATTATTTTACAAAAACACAACTTCACTGTATTCTGTTTAATTAAGGGAAAAACACTGCACTGGTAAAATTCACCTGTGATTCCTGCTGCTTGGGACTCCTGCTCAGCAATTATCGAGTAGCCAAGGTAGCCTAAATACTCCAGACATCGCTGGACGTCCAAATAAGTCGTTAACCTGCAAAAAAGCAAAAGATGAGTATTGTCAAAGAATGAAGACAAGAATAGGAGGTTGAAAGGAAAGAAAGAAAATGATGGAACAAGGAAGACAGGAAGAATAGAAGAGGAAAGAAATGAACAAGAAAGCAAAGGAGGAACAAAAGATACAAGGAAGGACTGAAGAAAAGAAGGAAAGACACAAAGAAGAAAGAGAGGTAGGATATAATTAAGGAAATGAAAGATAAGTACACAAGGAAAGATGAAAGGAATAAAGGGTGGAAGTAAGCAAGAAAATGAGATAGGGAGGCCACCATAATGGAAAGAACGAGGTAAAGTCTGCAAATACAAATATTTTTCCATACTTTATTTTATATTTTCATGACTATCAAGACCTAAAAAATTACCTTAATCCCAATCTGTACCCTGTTCTTTTTTCAAAGAAGAAAAAAACCTTCTCTTGTCCAACATGACTGAGTTAAAATCTGTCAGAATGAGCTCAATAAAAGGAGGAAACCAGTAAAAGACAAAGTTCTGATCTTTCCGTGATCCTTACAGCTCTATGAGTCTAATACAGTATCCCTCTCCTGAGTGTAAAATGGCTTGAGCATGCTTAACATTTCCTTTTCCTGTTCAGTAAACCTAAATCTATTAAGCTCCAATAAGCTCTGGCAGCTGACAACACGTGCATTTCTTCCTGCTCTGTGGCTAATGTGCTATTAGCCACATTACTAATAACATGGGAATGTGGCTGCAAATTTAAACAGGAGATTTACTGTGAAGCAGAGGAGGAACAAATATCAGAATGGTGCAGAATGCCAGTTCTGTTGCTTTAAATATCGCTATAAACATAGTAATCACTAAGGCTGAGCTGCGGCTACCGACAGTTTGTTTGGCTAAGAACTGGTCTAGTTGGATCCTTACGGGCCTCCCAGCGTCTGACGTCTGACCTGCTGCGGCTTAGAGAGAAGCTCTGTCGCTTCCTTTCTGCCGTCGTCACTCACTTTGTTTCTAGCTGCTTTTTATTACATTTTTACATGGGATAATGGCTGATTCGGTTCATTTTGGCCAATAAAGCTGTTTTTTTTTTTTTAATTAAAGCACAACTGAAACATGTTCACTGCCACTTCCTGTTCTCTATTTCAGAACCCTAACATAGACATGCTGCACTTATATGATGCCGTCAGTCCAGCTACCCACAAGCAGAAATCATTAAATCAACTGCTAAAACACAAAATCAATCAATCTTGAGGCTAGATTCTAGTGCAAATACCTTATTACATTTGAAATAAGACAAAACTAACTTACAAGTAACTTTTCAGCAAGACCAAGTAGCTTATTTTAAGACAATAATTCCTTAATAATTCTAATTCAACTGGCTGAATATTTAATAAAACAAGACATTTTTGCCAATGTGAAATAATAAGCCAGTAGAACTAGTATTTCTTATTTATGTTAGATAAGGTAATTGTATTTACATATGACACATTATCAGCAACATGGCAGTTCAAAGTGCTTTACATGAATTAGAAGGAAATACAAACAAAACAAAACCAAAAGAAAGAGAAACAAGAAAAACTATATTAAAAGTATGAAGCTAAATGTTGGTCTAAAGTAAAAAAAAACAAACTCCATAATTATTAAGGAATTGTCTTAAAACAAAATTCTATATCTTGCTAAAAAGTTACTTGCATGTTAGTCTTGTCTTATTTCAAGTCTTCTAAGATATTAGGCAGTAGAAAGTTATGTATTTTTGCAGTGCTCTCCTCCCATCTGCGGCACTTACGTCCACTGTGAGAGGTAGCCCTGGTAGGTGATCCAGCCTTGGTCATTGGTGCAAACAGTGTTGTTGACATCTGGACCCCAGGGCATGTAGGGGAAAACGTCAAACAAGTCCCTCAGCTCATCAGGCGACAAGGCACAGTCACGATCCTGTTAGTCATTAAAGGTTCGTTTATAAATACGGTTGTCCAGATCTCTAGTGCCATTGAAAAAAATGTTCCTGTTGTTTTTTTATTGGTCTGATATAATATTATGATGTTAAATGTCATGTTTTCATTAGCTGTAAGTAGGAAATCATTATAATTAACAGAAATAAAGGCTTTCAAAAATCCATCTGTTTGTAATTAAACTATATAATATATTTCACTTAAATGGGCTTTTTAATATTATTCCAATTTACTGAACGGGTCCGTAAATATTCTTGTTTTACCCTTGATCTGCAATGTTGTGTTGTATTATATAAAGTCTATGACTCCCAGGCTGCTTCTGCTAGCAAAAGTTTAGCTTAAATGCTAAACTTTTGAAAGTCCATGGTTTTTAACCGAATAAGCCAACATATAGTCAGCTAATCAGCCAACATAGAGAACTTCACTATTAATTCATGACAGACACATGCAAAGTGTTCAAATGTGTTCAAACCAGGATGGATGGATGAATACAGCTAAACTATGGACAGGAAATAAAGTTGAGAAATATAGATAATTGGTCCAAACTAGAGATTTGTTTTCCATACTAACCCAGGCCTGAAATAAAAACATTAATCTCAAAACCACCATAAAGAGGTGTAGACAAAATGAAAAACCAGAGATGAATCCGTCCTCAGAAAACAAACCTGACTGGACGTAGCTACACATTTCTAGATGGAGGCTAATCACTACTACAACATATAGAAGGCACGATCCGCCACTTTCAACCTTTGACTTTCCCTTTAACCACCGGCTTATTCTCCGGTAAATCCCGCTTCCGTGCCAGCAGGTTAAATCGCTCCTCAGCTCCTCAGGGGTGGGGGTGGTATTGGCAGCAGGAGAAGTATGCTGGTTTGTATTTCTGGGTACTGAGCAGCTTCCCGCGAGTGTCTTGTCAGGACAGAGGCTAAAGCAAACAGAAAACAAGCTGCGCGGGGTCGTACCTTGTCGTGTTTGTCAAAGACGCTCTGCAGGAAGAGGTAGGCATTGTGATTGAGCTCCGTGGTGCAGTCAGGAGGAATTTTCAGCCTGAAAAGAGCAAAGCTTTAGCTCGCATTTAAACACAGAGGTAAAGGTTGCACTGTGTAATATCTATGATGCATCAAGTGAGACTCACGGGGGGAAGAGATAGTCCTGATTCAACTCCAAGTCGTCATCGTATCCGAACCTCCTAAGAACTGTCCAGGTCGTTTCATGGCGACCGCGTTGAATAAACAGTGTGTGCAGAAACAGGAAGCCTGCCAGAGGGGGGGCATAAAGGTGCAAACAGGCCAAATCCAGTCAGGAATAAAGAAAGACTGGCACATGCGTGCATGAAAATGTAATTAAAGGCTCCAACCGGTTCCAACCTTTTAGAGTGAGTCCATTATGCTGCACTCCATCCATCAAGTTCTTCCTGACCACGTTTTTCACGTCCTCCAACGCCTGAGGCTCCAACGGGCTGTTGAAGCACACTCGCTGACACAGAAGAATATTTGTTAAGACTAAAGACACTGAAAGTCAACTTGCAGAATTTTGCGTCTGGTTGAAAGAAAGACAAACAAAAAACAAACAAACAGCAGATTCACCTGGAAGAAGTTGAGCTCAATATCATTGAGGATTCCATCATTGTCCAAATCCGACACTTTGAAGATTCGGGTCAGCGCCTTTACACAAAGAGGCTTCATCTGGAAGGACAGATTCAAGTAACAAATTCAAAGTTAATAATAATAATTAAAAAAACCACTTAGCCAGCCTTTTTTATCTTTTGTGATTAGTGTATCTAAGTAACAACAGCACTCTTTGGCGTGTAGGTTAGCAATCTGCTGCATCACAGATTTAAAAAATAAAGTCTTATGAACCCCCAAAAAGCTTCTAAAAGGAATCTATTTCCAAAGGAGGATAATCAGGTGTTCATTCACACCGAGCTTTTAAACAGAAACCTATGTTTTGGTAGCTAACAGGACGCTGAAAAACTTTTAACTCTCAGAAGAGTCCAGTTCTGTCTGCCACATCTACTTATTCTACACAAAATAGGCACAGATCACTGTTCACTGTTAGTATCTCGAACTTCATTTGTGATGCTAATTACTAGTAATCAGAAAACAGGATCAAGTACTGTGTTTGTTAAGAGTTCTTAAAAAGAAAGACCTGAACTAGCAAAAATCAGTGAGCAGAAATTTCCTACTAAAACTCTGATTGGTGCGTCTATGTTCAGCACAGGTCTTCATGCAGAGTAAGAGAGGTGTGTAGTTTGTTCCGTTTGGCGCTTACGTCTTTTTTCTCAGGACAGTAGAGGGGACCTGTGGGATGGAGGACTGCCTTTTGGGCATAGTAGAACAGCTCAGAGATGTTCTTCAGGTTCTTTGCCGAACACTACGAACAGAAGAATAAAACAAAACTTATATGTGCGTGCTTTTCCTACGTTCACATGCAGGTTTGAAGCCCTGAGAAAAAGAAGCACTGCTTAAAGAGCTGCTCTAAGTAGCAGTCAGACAGGGTATTAAGACACGCGATCCGTCTAAGCAACGCTTCAGACTAATTGGCGCGTCTGAAAAAACAGCCGCAGGTGGAGCTTTGTTTAGAGATCATCAACATGTAAGGACTTCCTGTCGGGAGCTCAAGACAAATTGAGGAAAAGTGTAAAATGTATCTTTTTAAATCTCAAAACAAGACATCGAGTGATTTTAAGAAAAATGTGAAAATTCACAATGAGCTCAAGTGTCCTAACATGATAAGATCGCAGTTCCCTTTGGGCTGAAAAGTAACAATTTACATGTTGAAAGATTGGACTTATATGAAGCAATCAGATTATATAGAGAGGATATGCTGACTAAATGAGACAGGTGTGTGTTTCGGGAGGTGGGGAAAAAAATTGTTTTAGTAACAACCATTGGATGCTATCTATTTTCCAACTTGTTGTTTGGGAGTGATGCCAGAAACGGTGAGGAGTTTGTTGAACTCTACAGGGACTTTAACAGGAACACCAGATGAAACAAAGACTGAGCATTTTCAGAAACAAAACGCTGCAGGTTTAATTTGTTGTGAAACAAAGCGTCGATTTAAGGTATGGTGGAGGATCTCTAACCAGCAATGTTGGCCTGTCCCTCCTCTACAAGCAACGGCGCTCTTGTTAGAATTCATGCCACTATGAAATCTTTGAACTAGCAGGAGAAAATGAAAATAAATAAAAATCTGGCGAGATTATGCAACTGAATTAAAGGACGAACTTATTTCAAAGCCTTTTACGCTTTTGTACCAGGGATGCCAATAAATTCAGAGGATGTTGTGTATATAATTTGATTATGTATTCGTCATTGAATGAACTGTGTGATATTATTCTTGCAGACGTTACACTCTCTCACCTCAACACATGTCTCTATTTCACTGTACTGGTTCATAATGGGCAGAATGGTCTCCATGCTGCTGTGCTCCACCAGGTCTGATTTGTTCCCCACCAGGATAAGAGGAACTCTGGGCACATTAAGACAAACATGTCAAAAACCAAAACAAGCAGTAATAAAAACATGGAATATTGAAGAGGGCTTCTTCTATATAGTTTTTTTTAATGTCTTAGAGGAGCAGTAGCTAATCTCACAATCAGGTTTAAATGTGCACACCTGCTATCCTTGTCTGTGTTCTCGGTGATGAGAGGAATCCAGTGGTTTGTCACCTGTAAAGATATTTAGGACAGAATATATTGTTTCTAAGATTTGCAGTCTTCCACAACACCTTAACGGCCTCATGTGCTGAAATGTTTAACTGATATGTAAGCAAAATTATGGAAATGCCAGCAGCAGAAGAGGCTCGCCTTCTCGATGGAAGTCTTGTTGTTGACAGCGTAGACGATGCAAATCACATTTGCCTACAGGAGAGATCAGCAGAGTCGGCCATTAGGCTTTCTCCTGAAGTTAAAGACTTTGAGCTGGCTGAGCTAAGCAGAATTCACTGACTGACCTTAGAGATCTCCTGGAACAACTGCTCGTCTGTCTGCTCCGCCTCTGTGGAAGGAGCACAGGTAAAGCGTACTTCTTACAAAAGTAGTCGTACCTTTCACATTTCGCCACGCTGTAACCACAGACTTTGGTTACAGCGTATTTTATTAAAGTTTTTTGTATTAGATCAACACAAAGTAGTGCCAAATGGTCAACAAAAAAGAACAGGGACACGTCATTTACATTTAACATAACAAATTTGTAAGATACAAGCTGAAATTCCTGATACCCCAAAATAAAGTCACCTAATAAACTCTTTGAATTAGCAAAATCAAGAGCCATGAACACAGTTTGGCACAACTGCAAACCTCAAACAATAGTCTTCCATTTAGACCGACACACCGAGCAAAGAGACGCAGTTCAGAGGCCCGCAGAAGGGGCGAACAATGTGAATATTTTGTGATACTTTTGGGACAATAATACGTGGCGATAAATAACCATTCACTTTATTGCAGTCTTTTTTAAGTGGCTGTGTGGCAGTGACTGCAATGTAAAAATCCTACAAACAAAAATACGGCTCTTAAAAACATGCCATTTGAAATAGGCTTCTTACTTTTACATAAAAAAGTGATATTTGTATCATTAAACTGCACACAATGATGATATTTTCAAATTTATCAGTGTTCTCATAAAACAAATGGTGGAAAAAATAGCAACTTAAACAATTCTGAGAACATAGGCAGCATTTAGAGTACTCAGACATCATTAACTGGAACTTATCGTTGTCATGATATAGACATATTCTTTTCATGACAAGAAATTTCTCAGTAAATTGTGAAAGATGATGGTTGCAGCACAACGGTGTGGCAATGCAATTCTTTACGCAGGGACATGGAAGTTGGTAAAAGTTTGTGAGAAGATGGATGGGGGTAAATACAGGGTAATTCTGGAAGAAAAAAACTGTTAAACTCAGATGCTTTCCATCCAACCTAACTTGAGCTATTTTGCTAAGAAGACAAATCAAAGATGTGAGACTGTAGTGGAAAAGAAATGGGTGGAAACAAAACCAAAAGACAGTTTAAGAAATCGTTGATTCTGAAAAGCTGAATGCATATCCATACTACAGTTAAGAGACAATGTGTAAAAAAAATTATAAATCATGCATAACTTTACAAATATGCATATTTATGTTGTTCTATCAAAGTAGTCTGAAACCTTTACTATTACAAATAGCGATTTTTGCACTAAGTCCAGCTAGATTAAACTTATTTACATAAAATATATTCGTAAAAAAAAAGATCATTTATATTTTTTTGATAAACATCTACAAAATAAAATTTGTCATTTTCAGCTATCCACAATTTTATTTCTGTTGTTAGGTTTTAAAATAATAATAATAAAAAAAGATATGACATGAATTTGCACACAGTCTCTTCAAAGCAGGTTGCAGACCTCAGGTCTATCAGAACAAATCCTACATAGGTGTAAAGTAACAAAATCAAAAAATCAAGAGGTATGAATATTTTAAGTCGCTGTATGGGGAGGATAAAACACAGATAAGAGGGACAGATCTGGCCACTTTGTACCTGAATAGTCCACAATGTGTGTGGGAACTTTTTCTGGTGTCACATCTGCTGGTATGGTGATCTCCTCGACTCGATAGGGAACCTGGACCAAACAGAAAACACTCATTACTGCACGTTAAACTGGTCAGTAAAAAGCAGCAGTGTAAAAGTAAGCAGCTCATACCACTTCTGGAAATTCTTCGCTGACCAGGGACATGATGAGGGACGTCTTCCCCACCTTGGCTGGGGAGGGAGGTTAGAGATAAATATTGCATTTGAGCTGAAAATCCTGATTAAAAATAATTCACGAACAGATTAAATTCATTACCGTGCATTTGAATTACAGGGCATCACTTAATTGTTTAAACATGACATCACTGGCTCGCACTTTTTGAATTTATGAAACTATATTACAGAAATAAAATATGTGCATAGTCCCCTTCCTCCTGTCATCTCAAAAAGCTGCAGCTAATCACTTGCATTAATAAAAGCATGCAGGAAAAATGTTCGTAAGGAATAACAGGAGGGTAAGTACCTATTTTTAATAATAATGTGGAATAATTACAAAAGACCAGTTAGATAATTTCAGAGTAAGATGATAGATATCCACTGAGCCTCCATCGTCATCATCATCATGAAGACACTCAGCATCACATGCTCTGGTGGGAGCATCTGTGTCATCTAAAGTGAACAGAGGCTGACTCTGCAAACACATCGACAGGCTTCACTCACGTTCCCCCACAAGCAATATCCTCACGTCCTTGCGCATCTTCTCCAACGTCTTCAACAGAGTCGATGCAGAGATCTGCGCTCAACATTCATGCTCCTGCCCCGGTGCAGAGGATTGGAGGGGGGGGGGGGGGGGGGACCAGAACAAACCACTCCCTCAGGCCTTCCAC